GGAGAGCAGAAGCTGTCACTTGATATCTGCCTCTCATTGTAGAAACTACCCCTCTTATGAAAAATACGACAAAAACCCAAACAATAGGCTAGCAATGTCAAGGGACCTTCACGGTTGGTTTGACGACTTAAGCACCGAGATTCCGCTGTTCTATTTGAAAATCGTCTCCATTTCTGATTCGGTTATTGTAGAAGACAGATATAAAGTCGTACTTGCGGTAGTAGCATTGAATCAAGAATCGGCTGATATGATATTTTATCGCTTGATTGAAGGCTCGACACAAACAGATAACCCACTCATAATGAATACTTCAGTTCATGTGACTAACCCTACTATATTCCGGAAATGTCTGGAATGGAAAGAGAAGGAAACCATGAAGAAGTGGAATGATTATTATTCAATGGATTCTGCGGTCCCGTAAACAAAATTTCAATAAATACGATTTCATAATATCTCCATTACAATTTCCTTTTATGTTAAATCAACTTTAGAATATTAACGAATTTTAAAACATCAGGTATGAATTTGGCACAGAAACATCCTAATAACTCAAACTTATAAGCTCTAAATTGCTCTATCCCACCTTTTTGGCCTGAATTACTAATCTCGGATAAATTGTCATTTTTGAAAATTTGGACACTGGTATCATTCGAATCTTATGAAACAAGTGTTTAGTATAAGTATGGCACCAACTATCTACCATTAATATTAGCTCATACACCTGCTCTAATGATTTTAACCAACGTGAATGCCACAGACAAATATTCATTTTAACAACACTCGATAGATTTTACTAGGAGCTATCTACTAAAATACCCGGTATCATTCGGTGTCCCATCTATACTACCATTGTCATTCTTAATTCTTCCCCAATGTTTGTAATTGCATACCATACAAAACCACCTTTTATTATGTTCAGGTAATTCTCAGCAGGCTTTAAACATTGACATTATGAAGCTTTGCATCTCACAACGCCATTGTTTAAAACCTAAACGGTTAATCAAAACACATCAGTGCTCATCAAGCAAATGTAAATGAATGTATCATCAACGCATTAGAATTTATTAAGTTGTGAAAATGTGAAAATGTTCATGGTGCTGTTAAAGCTCAAGTCCCTTTTGAAGTGATGCAAATGCAACAAATACCTCGGTCATACTCGTCTCCTGTACTTCATGACTTACAATACCAAGTCGTCGGGCTAGTTGACCACTATCACCACAGGTTTCCGGCAATTCCAAAACACGGAAAATATGCTCTAGTAACTCTAGTCCTATAATCATCTTCTCCTTGTCAGTCGACGCGGCCAATAGCTGTGTTTGTAAAGCTTCAACGCCAAGCTTTGTCATTTGCAATACAGTCGTTCCACCCACTTGTCGAGCTACTTGCCATGTGCCAGGTTTGCCAATATTTTGCAAAAACCAATCATTCACCACATCCACGGATTCACTTGTTCTTATCAAAACCTTGTATCCGTATCCGTAAACAGATTTGAGCCTCTGCGGAGTACCAATACATTGCATACGGCCATTGACAACAATGCCAATACGATCGCCAAGTGCTTCCGCTTCTTCCATGGAATGGGTGGTAAGGATTACAGATGTGTGTTGTTTGAGTCTTGCATGGTATTTAAACAAGATTTTTCCTGGAGAGAATATTGCCACTTCACAACCATGGAGTTTCCCCTTTATCTCCAGTTTTTGGTTCTCTACTTATAAAAGTATTCCCTCACTCCAAGTACCCAGACACGCATTACAAGAGGATGGCTTTATTGAAAACTTTAACGAAGATCATATTTCAGATTCCGACCGCAATGTGCTATCCATTAACAATATACTGAAGGAATTTAAAGTCAAAGAAAAACCAAAGGATGCATCTTCTGATTCTAGCAAGGGGATCTTTGGCAGATTTTTTTGTGGTGCAGCAACGGAAACCAAAATTAAGCGTGCTGTGCAAGACTTTAATTTGAATTTACACAGTAGTCAGATTCTTGCACTACTGGGCCACAACGGTGCGGGAAAAACTACATTAATATCCATGATAAGTGGTGTTGTGTTGCCAAAATCAGGCCACATTTACGTCAAATCCAAGTCGGGCGACAAAGTGATGGATATAACGGATCCTTTTGCATTATCAATGTTTAGACAAGAACTTGGTGTATGTCCACAGTTTGATGTAATCTTTGAATCTCTCACTGTTCGTGAGCATTTAGAACTGTATTGTGGTATTAAGGGTGTGACGATTGATGGCCGAGTTGGAGATTTTATATCTAGTGGTCAAAAAGATGCTGCAAATTTAAAAATGCAATATGTCGAGGCCATAGCACGCGATGTTGAACTGTATGCTAAACTAGATGCCTACATCAGTACTCTCTCTGGCGGTATGAGACGCAAGCTAAGTGTAGCTATTGCGCTACTTGGATCTCCTCGTATCGTGTTGTTGGATGAGCCAACTACTGGCATGGATGTTGCTGCTCAACAACGTATCTGGTCCTTGATTCGAAGCTGCAAAAAGAATCGTGTTTTGATTTTGACTACACATTCTATGGAGGAGGCCGATGTTCTTGGTGACCGTATTGCTATCATGTCGAATGGCCATCTCAAAACACTTGGCACATTGATTTTTCTTAAATCGCAATTCGGTACGGGATATAGTATTGATTTTGTCAAGTCTGACAAAGCTACAATGTCCAATCAACTATCCACTCGGGCAGATTCAACAATTCTCAAAATTGTGCAGCAATTTTTTCCTGCCGCGTAAGTAGTATATATAGGGCACCGAATGATACCAGTTTTTATTCATTCACAAGTCTAAATTTATAGTGACACCACATTGCTTTCCTTCCAGACAAAAAATGTCTGGCCATAATACACCGATTTCAACAGCTCACTCCTTTCTCTCACTGAATACTCCAAGGGTGTCTGTGGAAGCAACAATCAATTCAGACTTACCAGGGCTCAAGACTCTGCTTGTCGAATACTTTTCTGGAGCAAGGTTGTTTGCCAAAATCCAAAGAACAGACACCGGAATCACTCAGGCAATAGTTCAGGGACATCCAAAGCAGTTTCCCTCTTCTCTTGAATACCTCAGAGGACTGCTACAAATCAAATATGATGCTGCTATTGTTTGGGGCGAAGCGAGCGCTGTTTCTGAAGAAAGTCGATACAACTCGATCACTATTGAAGAAGCTTTACCAACTTTGGAAAGGGATCCGTCCTCGGGAGAGTTTCTGGAAAAGGAACTTGACGAAATCTCTTTTGGTGGGTCTGCTGCTACTGAAGCTTTGAAGAAAGTTGTCAAGGAAACATTCGCTAGTATGGCAAATGCAACTACTGGTTTTGGCATTGCAAAAGGATGGATTCCCGCTGTCCCGGAAAAGCACATCATTGTCAAACGTGGAGACGAAGAATACGACTTGGAGGTTTCTACCATTTCTTCTCTCTCCGCATTGATTGAAGCAGTGCAGAAGAAATTCCCATTGGCTCTGAAAGTCAAGAAACTCTACCGCTTGCACGAAGGAACTCCAGTCGTTGTGACTGATGTGAAAGACCTGCGCCAAGGATATTTGTATTATGTCCTGGCAGGTTTTGAAGAGTTTCCCAAGAAGCAGACCACCAAGTTCACAACAATCGAGGAGTTCTTTGACAAGTTGAAGATTCAACAAGAACTGGATGATGATGAAATTCAGCTTATCAAGGACTGTCTTGGAAAACAGAAAGTCAAATTCACCCAATTGATGGCCACTGGAGATCTGGCATTGACTGATGAGAAGCTCAAAGAAATTGGAATCTCTCAATTGGGTTTAAGAACAGCAGTTCTATTAGTTATTAAAGGCAATCAATAAAATCCTTGATGTAAATTGAATTTACTTGATAACATTGCTTAATCGTTTTTATTCATATCCAGCCCATCCAATACATAATTCAATTTACTCACCAAATGCCACTCATCTCCCAACTGACTTTGTAGAGTAGTATTGCCTTTTCGGTCAATATTCTTATCCGATAATCTATGCAAACAATCTGGTATGCTATTTTTCATTGAGATTGACACTGAATATTGTGAATTGATCAAGACCTGGTCGAATGGCAAAAGTCTTGGTCTTATAATGATTGGAAATATTACAACTGTAATTTTGAGGCTCTTACATTATTACAATTGTAATTCCGAGTTTACAATTGTAGTTTCCATTGTTTACTACAAATGTCAGCAGATTACATCCTGGATCAGAAGAGTTGCTGCTTTTAATGATGCTGATTTACAAGAAGAGCTCAATTTGATCAACAAGAATTTACTTAATGCATTCGCTAGGGCAATCAGTCGCACACGTCGTCCCGAACTGGACTCTCATATTCACAGAAATGGTGCGTATGAACCACATCCCCACGCAGATACAATCAATTTGTTGCTTTCTATTGGAGAGTCTACACTGTCTGCGATCAATTCAGAAATACCTGTTAGCCCTGTCCCTTACGCAGTCAGTCCTTATATGTATGTCACTGCCAGAATCAAGATCTTGACCTGACGAATAAACATATACACGTCAAAACTACTAAACAAGAATCGTGTAATGGACCGATGCCGAGATATTTGCAAATCAGACAATTCATTGGCCAAGACCTGCTTGCTCTCAAAGGCTGCTTTCCAAATCAGGAGTTTGTTGATTACACTCGGCAAATGTTCAAATGGAATCACACAATGTGCCATTTGTACATTGCGTATTATTGGTTTCTGATTGACTGCCCAGTGTTTGTGTACTCTGGCTTGCCTTGGACTACAATTTGCAATGAATGCACTCGCTGGAGGAGATGACTGGATAGCGAGGAAGCAAATGCGTTACCAACATCCGATTATTCGTCGTCTTCATTCTGGAAGGGAACCTTACCACCTTATCGAGAAAGTAAATCTGAACCAAGCGAATCTCCATCTAGCTTCCATTCGTTTGAGGAGAAACCTGTGGGCGAAGGTGCAGCAACTGGAAGCGAAATGGTTATTTCAACAAGTCTCAGCAATCTAAACATTTGAAATAAATGAAATATTCAGTTCTTGATAGACTTTTTATACTTTTTCAATATTTCCTTTTCGGCTTCTGCATTTGAGGCATAGTAGTCTTTGTAACGTTTTCGTTCAACTTCCTTGTTATGAGAATAATATTCACGATACCATTTCCTTAATTGGTCTTGTTCTTGAGATGAATAAGCATCCCAATTCTTGATGGATTGTAAGTAATCATTGTAATTTCCAATTGAGCTGATGGGTGTCATTTATTGTTACTCTAGAAAATAAGTTGCTCCAAATGTCCTTCTCTTTTTATTGGCTGGACCTTGAACTCTTGCCAGTTCTTGTAATTCTCTCTTGTTACGACGCTCCTTGTTTGTCATTGTCGGCTCTCTGTGTCTCGGTTCAATCAAAAAGGTCTCCGTTCCTTCAACTCTCTCGAGTTCATAGTATTTGTAAGACTTTCCAAGAACATTGCCGTTATCATCTGAAATTGAGAAAGAGTATCCGTTCCCACTGACAACAGTATAGATGCCGTTGCTGTACTTTGACACATATCCTTTTCTGAATGTTTGCTTACTTTTCAGTATCCGAACACGATCTCCAACTCTAATTGAATGCTTGGTAATTTTAACTTTCATTGAACCATTTAATGGATTCTTTAGATACATTGATTCAGGAATATCATTTACACCACGGTGATAAGTGTTGTTGTAGTTGAATACAATGTCTTCCAAGACATCAATGTATCTATTTGATTTTCTTGATTCTTGGTACCGAGCAATAATATTCTCCAATGTTCTGTTGAATCGTTCAATCAATCCTTGTCTATTGTGATCACCCACATTCACAGTGATGTGACAAACACCTTTTGCTTGCAGTAAGCTTTGGAAGTTGTTGTTTAAAAACTCTGTGCCATTATCGCTTTGAATCAGAATATGCTTTTGCACGTCAAATATTAACTTCATTGCATCTGTAGTATCTGATTTCTTTTTCATCGCCACCACAAATGATTTCCTACTAAATACATCTATTGCGCACAGGAGATACTTGTATCCAGCATTCCATCTTGCATATTTAGACAAGTCAATCAAATCCACCTGCCATTGGTCATTGACTGAATAAACAGTTATGGGGCTGAATGCTGGCCTTCTTCGTGATTCTTGATGAAGTTGGTGAACTTCCTGCTGGTCAAGGAATTTTATGATTTGTGAGATTGGAAGCTGTTTGTTCAGTTTCAGGTATAATCTCTGCGCTGAAATGAGGCCAGTCTTGGGACTGTAATACAATTCGTAAAGCTTATCCATAACCTAAAATAAGAAATTAAGTTTTTACAATTCAGCTGAAAGTGTTTCAAAACCGACTCGGGATCGTTTATCATTAAACAATTTCATTCCTGTTCTTGTTGGAGAATACGTATTCATCTGTGTTGTAGTCCATGATTTTCTACATCAAAAATATGAATCTTGCAAAATCGATATGAATTGTTGCTATTAAAACCATTTACTACGCTACCACTGTTATTTCCAAAGCTGTTGAGTTGATTGAAATCGTAACTAACCAAATCTACTGAAATATGTCCAACAAAACAATCATGTCAATCATGTCGAATGTGATTTATTGATCAGCTATCCGTGAGCCATGAACAATGATAAATAGAATGAAACTTTGCGGCTTTGATTTGAACATTGACAACTATGCAAGTTGGTTTCAAGTTTACTGTGTGCATTGACACATGGCCACACATTGACAGATCAACAGACTACAGCTAGCGACAATCTGAATCAACTTTGGATGATATATATTTATATTTCAACAACCATTTCCACATGGTTTGAATTGCTCGAACAAATCAAACAATCAGTCAAATATTTGGTATACAGTGACAGTATATGTTGTAGTAATGGATTGTATATGTGATGATAACTATCCATAATCAGGGTGACAATTTGATACTACCTGATTACTGAATACATGATCGCAATCAAAGAGATCAACACAATATACTACTGGGGTTGATCATACACCAACAGCGATGCTTGTATATTGATTCACCCTACAGGGTGTTTTCGGCTTTGTTCACCCTACATGGTGTTTCTGGGTTTGTCAGAATATCCATTTGAAAGTGTCGATTGTCACCCTTGAAGCTGCCGTTGTTATAAAACGGCAGTCATGTACCAGATTCAACCCATTTTCATTACAATACTCGATACAATGCTGATTACTCTAGAATGCATTCTACTTGCGTTACAAGCGGTTGCTGCAATTCGACTTGCATTAGAATCACCAATTGGAACTACCAGTCAATCAAACAATAGGCTGTCAAAGCGATCACCCGTTGTGTTGGATGGTGATATCAAGAAATGCTACACAATTAAAGTCAATGTTGATGGAGTCAATGTATGTATCATGCCATTTATTGTAGTTTGATATCAGTTTGTACTACGTTTAATCAATCTCACACTTGTTTAAAATAGTTGGGTTTGCAAGTCGATTCAGCGATTTCCAGTATAGTCGTACCACTTCCTAGTTCAAGCAACGATATAGGTTTGACTCCGCAACACACTCCAAATGGGGAACCCGTTACTATAGATTACAAAGGCGATGAGTATAGTGGAGTTAGTTCCGATGCAGTTGTGACGATTCCGGGTACTAGGATAACTGACATCAAATTACCAGTACTAGCAGTTAGAAAACAATCGCCAGATCTAGTTGGTATCGATCCAGAGTTTGATGGAATATTTGGGTTCGGCAATTCCTTGTTGTCAAATCATCACTCACGAATCACTGCGATGGATGCTTTGTACAATGGTGGTATTATTCCCAATAACGAGGTTAGTCTTCAACTATGTCCGTATGAAATGACTTCAAATAACTTCATCAATATAGGAAACACGGACGTAACTGCAAAATGCGGAACGGATGGAAGGAGTGTTGCATGGGTAGACTCACCACCAGACGGTCGCCATACTGTCAACATCAAGAGTATACTAATCAATGACAAACCAGTGAATCTACCCGAGGAATTCCAAAAAAGGGTAAAAGATGGACGTACTTTGTATTCGGTTATACAAACATGTTTTAGATATATACGTTTTCCTGAAGTAGTCGTGAAAGCGTTGATTGATGCTATTCTTGATAGTGGTGCGATTACTGTCAAAAAAGCTATGTATAGTAACAAACTCAACTCGGAAGAAATCAAAAGAATATTTTGGGAACACTACGCAATGCTTGAATCCAAACTTAATATTGATTGGGGCAAGCTACCAACGCTTTCAATTACAATGTTTGCTCAAAACCCAGTAACTGATGCCAATTGCAACTCCGTTGTAACAATCAAATTGGGTCCCAAAGACTATATACAGAGATATGATTCTAAACATGGTAAATATTTGACAATTGTATGCAATATGTATTGTTTGATTAACCTGACTAATATAAATGTCGAATTATAGTCCTGTTTGCTGTAAAGGCTGGTCCAAATGACAATGTAATTCTTGGTATTCCATTTATGACCCGACTTGGATTGACATTTGATCGAGCACATAAACGCATTGGGTTTGGTCCTGGATGTGGATGTGAAGTCATGACTGATGGATATCCTACTATTTCGAACGGTTATCAAGTACTATGGCCATTACCACAGTAAGTTGTTTGATATTGGTGTGTGTATGTGTTAATTGATATTGATCATGAATTTGGTGCATAGTGTTAGATTGCCTGAACAACCAAGTACTTCAGGTTCAGATGGCACATTTATTCGCAAAAGGAGACCAACAACTACAACTGATCAAGTAGCTGTACCTGAAAACACCCACCACACTGTCAAGAGTCGCAAACAGACTCTCAATAAACTCGACTGAATACAATTCATTAGTGACAAACTGCTACTATATGTATTTTTAATGTGGTGTGTCCATGTTTGATTGTGTGATATGTTCAAGCCATGCATGTATTGGATCAGTTGAGTGTGTATTGTAGTTGTTTGATACACGATGATCACGCATACTATTGTATTGGTAATACATGGTATTGATTGAATACACATGATCGCGTAGCTCAATCATGGTATGGATTGTTGAAATCCATCACTGTATATCTGGATGATCATGCCAATATTGGATGCGCAATATCAACAGTTGGAATATGGTATACTGCTGCAAATACCATGATTATCACACTCCATTAGTATGTGTGATCATATTGCACCAATCGACCAGTATACGATCACTGCATACATCAACATGTGCATAATGGCCATATTGTTGGCATTGTATATTCAACATGTGATATTTGACATACGACAAAGTTGATACTGCGACTGATGTGTGTGATCAGTCAGGCTATTGATGCAACCATATCGACACCACAATCAACGAGTCAAACCAGTCAGATCAGATATCAACACACATGACTATTGTTGGTATTGGTGTTGCATGTGTCAATACGACATTCCAAGCAATGTCATATTGACACAATACACACATGTATGTCAGCATCATCAATGTGTACAACTATGCAATATACAATCAACTGTATTGTATTGGAAATACAAGTGTCAATGTACAATATGATATCATGCCAATCAAGACTGTGTAATAATCAGATATAATGCATGTAAATCCAATTTTATTGTAAATTAAACCAGAAATACAATTGAATTGGTTGAAATCAGTCCAGATTAACATTCAAATCAATCAAATCAATTGGATGGATCGTCACGTTTGGATTGCTGAAAAAATGATCCAAATCTAGTGATAAACTTGGAGGAAGCTCTCCGCATACTGAAAGTACCCTTCCGATTGAATTTATATTCGGATTCTTCATCCGGTTCTTCATCTGATGATTCTTCGTCCGATGATTCCAAATCTTTGCGTTTTCGTCGACCACCAGATTTTTGATCAATACTCTCATATTTTAATGATTGTTGTTCAAGGTAATCTTTAACGGAAGGCGTTTCTTTGATAAGCGAAGATTTGTAAATAACTGTTACAACATCCAGAGGGGTTCCGAAAATGAGACGCACAATCTTTTTATCGGTCTCCCACTTTTTTCTGTAAGACGACCAATCTCGGACTGGCACTCATAAAAACTTTTTCGAATTTTGTCAAGTTTGGATAGTTGTTTTTCATGATCAAGCTTAGTCTTCCGAATTTCAATATAATATTTTAGGCTGTCATCGTCTTGAGATAGATATTCCAGAACTTTAAGATCTTTTTTCACGCCCATTAGCACGTCATATTGACTGTCATCGAGATTTTAACGGCCAATATATCTTGCTTTGCTGATTACGACCATCCTGTATCTCTGCGTATTTGTCGAGTAAATGCTTGACGTTACCTGGAATTGGATCATCAAGAGCACCCAAGCCTATACCGTCTGGATTAGCATCTATCCAAAAATTATATTCGACACCTTTAAATACAGTGGGAATGCCGGTAAAAGTGTTATCTTCAGTACTTGTAGTTGCACTGGGAATGAATGTTGAAATGCCATCTTCATCATCTGTACTTTCACTGGGATCAACTGGATTGGCAACTGTGACCGAGCAGACAGCAAGGATTGATGACAGTACGGCAATTGAGAATTTCATTTTGGTGGTTGGTTGAGCAAGTTGTAATGTCATTCAACAAGTCGGTTTTTGAACTGTATTTATATCCATTACTGAATAAATGATATTAAAAGCATATTCCTTGAATGGTCGTTTTAAGGGGTTGACTTTATTGTCAGGGTTGAATGGTGATTTGTTGTCAATGCCAAACTTTGAAGGGATATCCCTTTATATGGTGACCTGTAACCTTGGCTGAGCTGCTATCTGACCATACATTCGAATATCATATGGTTGGCTATGCAGTCCCACCCTAAAAATGGCTATGGTCAAGGGTTAGGGTTAAGAAATGAGTATAAACCAAAACTGGAATGAGTTGACACTCGGATATTAGTTGGTCATCAATATGTGCCGTGATATTCCATGTTTGTTAAAATAGCAAGTGATTGGCATGATTCAACGTACAAATAGTGTATAATGAGCATCGGATGATACTGTTTTACTTGAACAAGAGTGCTAAATCCGTTGGAATAATTGTAATTTAGTCGTCTATTTCTGTACTACATTTTACACCCTCATTGTTATGTTGAAGCAATCAGACATTGACCGTTTACGTATAGTTTGAATGGTTAGTGTGTATCTGTTGTAATATCCAAGCAAGATATCTAAGCTTCAACCCTTAACAAGCAAGCATTAGTACTTGCATTGGACACTCCCTAATTTATCATTTCCTCATTATCTCCATTATCTCCCTTATGTTTCAATATCAGTACTCTTACTTTTCAAAAAACCCAGCGTTACCAATGTTTTCTATAGCAGCATATTATATTATATTATTACTTGTTGAAAGACTCGGTAATTTTTGTCTCTCTTGTATACTCTACTTTTTCGATACACCTAAATTCTTTAACATGCTACACAACATCAAATGTCTGCAAAGGAAACAGCTGGAAATGGAATGCGTTTGTAGGAATAGAAAACACCATACACAAGATGACAGCAGTATTGCGTACATACAAATCAAAGTATGCTCTCATGATTGCCAACGGATTGATTGAAAACAACTTTATATCCAACTTGCCCATCAACAACCAATAACTCTGTTGGAGTTTTGTGTAATCTGATTTATATTAATTTAAATGGAGGTGTGTGTATGATCTGTAACTGTTAGTAGTTGACAGAAGAGAACAAATCAAAAGTGTAATGTAAGTTGCACTTGAAATCCAAGATCAACAGATCTGGTATTTTCAAGAGTAGTAAAAAGGTGTAATAAAGTAGTTAGAAATTGAAATAGTTTGACGAGTTGTTTATTGATAAGAGAATATCTCGGCACCTATAGTAATTAATTGTTTGTCTTGTGATACAAACAAATAACGTGTTTGATAATGAGAGGCTGTAAACGAAAAGTAATTGAGCCAATAGGATTGATTTCTGTAATTAGCCAATTTAATAATAATACTATTTACCCGTTATTTGTGACTCGAATCTCCAAAAATGAGGATAATGGAGTTTGGAGCACATGGATTAGTGGTGATGAAGGGTTTAATTTGGAGATTCAAAGTGTGCTATTAGAATTAGCCTTGCCACAGGCTACCATTTAGGGGTATCCATCTGGATATTCCAATATAAAATTGTCATCAAAATTCAACTTTACTAATTTTATCAAACATGCAGTTGGATGATATCATGAAAGAGTTGATTCAACACCTGGAAGATTTGAAACTATTAACAACGGATGCTCAAGTATACAAGGCTGATGAAATATGGGACAGACTGCTTGACTTGCTACTGGAGTTGGAAGAACATGATTCATGTAAGTTTAATAGCAGTTGGATTATTGATGAATTCAAACTGTTGCTGACTTTGTGTTGGTTTGGAATGTCAGTATCTACATATGTAGCGCCTCGCTTACAGAGTATTGGACTGGAAGATATCACAGTCAAGTATTTGGAGTATAATCGACCCAGTTTACAGGTATTCATATATTGTAACAATAATGGATTGTTCATGACTAAAATAATCAACATGTGCTGTGTAGATCAAAATAATGGAGTTTGCTACAGTATTTTTGAGAATGGTGTACTATGATGATCAGTTCAAAATATCTCAACGACTAAACAACCAACTTGCACAACTCATGCAATCACCAAGTCGTCAAGTCAAAATGGCGGCAAGTCATGATTGATATTGACCAAATGATTGAAATCCAACTCACTTAGTGTCAATATGCATATAGGCGATAAACGCATGCACAAAGTTGTTCAATTGTAGACGCTGGAGTGAGGAGTGTAAATTTGACATCAAGCCAATGGTTGAGATTATTGTTCACGAGTCCGATCAAGAAGTGCTCACATTGGCAATTGACCTGTTTTTGAAAGTTTGTCATAATATTGACGATGAAAATGTATGTTTGCAATGATACAATATTGGATCAGTTTGGACAGTGTCATGTCATGTTGATCTGATTGTATACTTGGCATTGAACAATATCATTAGTTTGGCATCGTGTTGTCAAGACTTGTTTCACGACTGGAATCATCCAATGGTCTAGTTGCTGTTGGGTTTATCAAAAATCTTAAAACCATGTATCGGAATATCTATCGTCATGACCCAGTAAAAGCAGCGGGATGTGGCATCATTCCAACAATAGTCAATACGCTCAGGTATGTGGTGTTATGCATGAATGTGTGTCCAGTCATCACAATTGGTAAATTTGACATGGTTGGATTGACATGACATGAATACAGGAGTGTCGATCAAGCAGTGATTGATCAAAGTATTGATACTATCGAGAATTTTTCCAGCTATGAAGATTGTGAAGTGACTTCAGCCGAGTTGATAAGATCGGGTTTGATTCAAACGCTTAGCGACTTGTATATCAGATACAGCGACAACCCTGAACTAAGAGCACGCATAATCAAGGTAGCTGGAACTGCTGCATCCGATATGCGTGACTTTCCTGTATCGCTTGTACGATCGTTGGTTTTTGAGCAATTGACGATATCGATACTTGATGTCGATATGTATGACTGTTTGCGCCGGTTTGATCATGTCAACGACATGATTGAGAAATCTACAAACAAGGCCGAGATGATCAAGGTGTTTCAAGAATATGGAATTGTAAAGCAACTCAACACTATTCTTTCACGTAGAAATATACGCTTGTATGGTTATAGTGGTAGTAACACTAGTATTGTAAACCTACTCGAAACACTTGCTGATTTTGCCGACAATCATCCCGACAGTTCAATACGTACCGAGCTTGAGCAAGGCGGGATACTTGAAAATCTAACGGCTATTGTACAATCGGATACTGCTGAATACATGAACAAAAGGCTTGCTGAACAGATCATTGGAACGTGTTTCCAGCATCGGGTTAATGTTGCTAATTCGAACATTCGGCCATACAAGGACAATGCCGAAATTGATATGAAATCTGAAATGGCCGGATATACACATGGACAGGCACGCACACTTGTAGAAATGCGGTATATCCAGTATCTGCAATGTATACTTTGCAAACCCATGTGGTGGATCGATATCACAAACCAGCATATTGTGGAGCAATGGAAGGCTGACTCACTCGATCGGAATATATCACCATCAACATTTGATCTTGCGTTGGAACAACTCGGGGTTTTTGTCAAACAGCTTGTTTGTAATGGCAGTGATGGATTTGGCACAATTGTACCAGGACCTGTTGAACTGACGTATATACTGGACAATGGCATACCTGACAATGTATACACGCGATTGATGACAAATGTATCGGATATTGAACATGGATCAAATCACAACACTGGTCAAATGGTGCACAATCTGATTGATGCATCAATGTACAGTGTTGTATATGGACAAACGATGCTTGCACCACTGAGTATACGACTCAAATACACCACAATGGTACCATGCGATATATTGTTATCGACTCGGCTTGTTTCAGATACGCCTATCATTAAAGGCAATCCCGAGTTTATATCATGCAAGTTCCAATGGCTTCCGAGTGAATTCCGTGTCGAACAGGATGGCAGTGTGACCATCAACTCATACATCAACAATCTGAATCCGATATGGCATCGAGACATGTACAAATGCATTGCCAAAATATTCAAATGTTTTGTCCCAATGTTTGAAAGTCTGTTCAGAACGATGGATCCAATGTTCAAGTATATTGATATTTGCAATGGCACAAATGGATATGAACCGTCAAGTCAGTCATATCGTGGTGGTATGGAATCAGACACTCAAGCCATTCGTCCCGTGTATGTACCAACACTTCCGGAACATTTTGAATCCAAATATGAATCAGCAAAACCAGTGTCACTGCGTGGTTGTAGTCTACAAGTCATTGTCAAACTCACCAACATTCAACTGACACCATCCAAACCTAAATACGACAAGGGAAACTGGCACAATGAAGGTTCAATTAACGAATCGATTGTTGCAGTTGGACTGTATTACTACGACGTGGAAAATATCACCACACCCAAACTCGATTACCGCGAGGCTGTTGATCGGTTTGAATATCAAGTAGCATCTGATATGTATTTGAAAGATGTGTACGACATTAATCAAGAATCACCACGGAATCAGTATATAGGATCGCTTGAATTACCAAATGGTCGGTGTGTAGTTTATCCCAATCGATACCAACACAAAGAGCAATCATTTGAACTTGCAGATCCAACCCAACCAGGACATTGCAAGATTCTGACATTTTTTGTAGTGAATCCAGCCTGTCGGATTGTTTCGACTGCACATGTGGCTCCACAACAACCACAATGGTGCAAATCGAGTCTTGACAAGGCACCCATACCGCCTGAACTGTGGAATGATGCCACGCAGTATATTCAAGGTGTTCAATCACCAGCTGAAGCCAAACACTATCGAGATGAATTGACAAATGACCGAACTCAAATCATAAAAGCATACAACAAATACAGATATATGAGTGGGAGCATTGTTTTGGTTGATTGTGAGGTTGTGATTTTACAACAATGAGTTGTAATAGTTTGATATGAACATGATGACTCGGACTCTATTCAGTCGGATCAACTCGACTACAATTGGTCGTGTATATTATGATTGACACGAACAATTGTAGTTGAACTCGAATACAGATTGACTGTTGAATCACAATGCGTGGTATCAGCAACATGATGTGCTATATAGTGGAATGTATACGCTAATATGACATGTGTCATGTAGTGTGTATTCGATCAATATGGGTATTAGCAATCAACAAGCCATACGATGTTTGTGTTCGAGTGATGCAATGCAATGGAATGGAATGAGTGCATCAATCCAGAATACGAGTCAACCATGACATATGATCATAATGTG